TCCACTAACTCTGATTGGCATTAATCGAATATCTAACATTCGGAATTATTTCTTTGAGTTGGTCGACGAGCGCAACAAAATAGTCGAAAATAATACCAGAGGTATCGAGAATAAAATGATAACTTGTCGAAAGAATAACTCATTGAATTTTTAAGTAAATAAGTCGAATATCTAAATTATGATAGTTTCTACGTAAAATCGTAAAGAACAACACGATAGGTTATCGTGATAACCTAATGCGTCGATTTAAGGATTCAACGAGCTTAATTCGTTGATTTTAATAATCTAAATCGATAACATAAATATGTCAAATATTTTAGAAAATACCACAAATGGCTACAAATGTAGCATCGTACTACAGATGGCGTTTTCCGCGCCATTTGTGGTATTTTCTAAAACGCGCTGTTAAGACAGCAGGTAATGGTTGGTCTGTGTTCTGTCGGAGCTGCCTGCGACGCGCTGATGAGATCCAAAAAGATCGAAATCGCGATCCGCGTCTGGCAGTTTCGACAGAATACAGACCACTTCGAATTATTTTGTTCGATTATGGTAACGTGCCTATCACGTTGAGGTGAGCTACGCCGGGATTCGTTTCAGCAAGTAGATATCCATATATTTAAATGGACCTTGTTGGAGCATACGTAATCCTAAAATGTAGCATCGTACTACAGATGGCGTTTACCGCGCCATTTGTGGTATTTTCTAAAACGCGCTGTTAAGACAGCAGGTAAAAGTTGGTCTGTGTTCTGTCGGAGCTGCCTGCGACGCGCTGATGAGATCCAAAAAGATCGAATTATTTTATTCTATAAGAGTGCAATTTCCCAACAATTCCCATCAATTTATGACGTTTGAAAGAAACGCGTGACACGTGAAGTGAATCCGCAGAAGTTAAACATCCGCAATCCAGTTTTCGACTTCTCATTTTTATTTTCTTTCGTCCTTTGTTTTCCCGCTCCTCTCTTCATTCTTATTCTCTTGTTGCAGTCGAATCAAATAGCACACGCGTGTCTCGCCACGATGCGGCGACCAACGTGAAGTCGTTCGGGCCCGTTTCTATAGTAACGACGTGCTTCATAATCTACAGTATCATTTAATGATTAAATTCCACATTCCAAAGAGGAGTCGTCGGCGTCATCGGCGTCGTGCAATCGTCGTCGGTACAAGTACCAAAGCCGCTTTCCAGCCAGCCTACTAATACTTATCAAACAAACTCTCTCCAGACTTTATACCAGATACATAGAGATGCACGGTCTCTCATACACGCGCACGAAAACATCACCAGAAAAGTTGATGAGAGGTTGTCGGGAAAACTTTCCTTCAAGGGCGTTAAAATTCGAATGGAATTTGGAAAATCAAAGAAAGATTAAAAGAAATCTCATCTTATAACTGTAAGTTTAAATTAGAAGCACGAATTTCCACCTAAGTAATAAGTGAATAAGTTAATTCAGTTTATAATGGATTAGCCTAATGGTGAATTCTGTGAATCGGACGAAAAATTGTAATTGCCAACATCAGCCTTTCGGGAATCAGACACGTAGTCAAGGAAATTAGGCTTTTGCTTCATTTATTATGGAAAAGACTCAATTACGAGGTGGCCATTCACGTCCAAATCCTTCATTTAGCCATAACGAATGTCCAGTGACTTCAAACAGTCTTTTCCATCAGACGGACATCACCATTATTTCTCAAACCAATTAGGCATGAAATCCTCATGGTAGGCATTTGAAATAAAGTAAAAGAGTCATTAACAAGGATCCTTGTTGATTCAACAAGAGAAAAAGTACTCCTTCTACTAAGAATAGAAGAAACCTAATATAGACACAATTCATGTCCAAATCTTTCAAAAAGTAATAAAGGAAAATTCAAGGTGTCCAGAATTTTCAAACGGGCTCCCCTCTTTCTAAATGATGGTCATCCAGGGACACGTCCAGCCTTTTCCTTGCCCTCAAGACGCTTTGAGTTCCGAAACAATACGTAAATTTGCAATAAATAAAGAGAAAAAGTGCTCCTTCTACTAAGAATAGAAGAAACCTAATATCGAGACCATTCATGTCCATATCCTTCAAAAAGTAATAAAGGAAAATTCAAGGTGTCCAGAATTTTCAAATGGCCTCCTCTATTTCTAGATGATGGTCATCCAGGGACACGTCCAGCCTTTTCCTTGCCCTCAAGACGCTTCGAGTTCCGAAACAATACGTAAATTTGCAATAAATAAAGAGGAAAAATTCTCCTTATACTAGGAATGGAAGAAACCTAATGTCGACATCATTCATGCCCAAATCTTCCAAAATGTAATTAAGTCAAGGTGTCCAGAAATTTCAAATGGGCTCCTCTTTTTCTAGGCGATGGTCATCCAGGGACACGTCCAGCCTTTTCGTTGCCCTCAAGACGCTTTGAGTTCCGAAACAATACGTAAATTTGCAATAAATAAAGAGAAAAAGTGCTCCTTCTACTAAGAATAGAAGAAACCTAATATCGAGACCATTCATGTCCATATCCTTCAAAAAGTAATAAAGGAAAATTCAAGGTGTCCAGAAATTTAAAATGGGCTCCTCTTTTTCTAGATGATGGTCATCCAGGGACACGTCCAGCCTTTTCTTTGCCCTCAAGACGCTTCGAGTTCCGAAATGATACGTAAATTTCCAATAAATATAACATACATGTAACAATAATAATGCCCAGTTGTTGCTGAGGTTTTCCGACCTCCGTCGTATTCATTGCGTTGTATGCACTTTATCTTAGCAATAAACTCTCACGATAAACGAACAACTACACACATTTACACAAATACCCATCTACACATACACGCACGTGATCGCAACACAACACACACACACACAAAAGTACATACAGGACTCGGGATATTATATACTCACGCCTGCTTCGCGCAGAGTACATAACCGCGTCTCTTGATACACATTCAGGCTAACAACACACACGCTTGTACATTATACAAACACGTCAGACGTTAAACGCGAGTAAAAGTGTATGTATTAAACGTGCACGTATGTATATATATATATATAGGTATGTGACAACGCGAGCGACAGAACGACTGCAACTGGCCAGAAGGTGCTCCTGTTGTATTAACAGCTACTGTTCATATGTACATACATACATACATGTAATCGTTATGGAGTGTATCACCAGCGTTTCTTGGAATATGTGTAATCTGAATACAATCACTTAAGGGACGTCGGATTGTGTAAGAACGGTAGTTACTGCAATCAGGTCTGTGACCTTTGTCTTATTGTATTCTTCATATTAGCAATGAAGTGTATGGAAGTCAATCGGTCTCTATTTTCTCATTATACAGAGGAAATTCAGGAACATGTTTTGTTTCTAGGTACTACTGGAAATTGACATTCGAAAGACACGATACGTAAAGCTTAAAACATCTCGTAGCACTTCTCCTAAAAGGTCCAAGAATCCTGCCAACGCTTGTCGCTGTTCTCATCTTGGGCCTTTGATAGCAATGAATCCTAGAAGCACCTCGTGTAAAATTACATATATCTACGTTGCTTCTTAATAACAGACAGCGGCATGCCCTAGAGGTTTAGATCACTAGGGATTCGGGAAGACTCCAGGTCGATTCCGGATCCGTCTGACCTAGTCCAAGTTCTTCTGGGGTTTCCTTGGATCACTTAGGCATATGCTGGAGCAGTAATACGTATTCCACAGATATAATATTTCACTCCCTTCGGTCTTCATTTCGTCCGTCTCCTCATCTTTCTTACCCCAACCACCACTAACCTAAAGAATTCACAGTTCCTAAAAGAAGACTGAAGAGGGTCTTCCACCCTACGCTCCGACATAGATGGGAGCGACCGTCCGCTCATTAGCATTAGTAACTTGTGTGAATAGTACACCTAAAAGTTTCTTTTCTTAACAGCAGTGACTTCCTTGACCACTGGTTTAAGGAACTGCTAAAAACAATCTCATATTGGAGATCCCTTTATAGACCATAAATTTTAGTCAAAAATTCACATAACGACTCCTGGAAACGTAACAAAACTTTAAGTGAAACTCTTAATTATCTAATATCGCTTTTCTATTCTTAGGCCATCGATCTTTACATCAATGGAAACTGTCTTGAACCATTTCCTTATTATATCGTGTGAAATTAAGTGAAACTTCCAAAAGAATATAATAGAATGATATAGCTTATCATCCAGGGATAGAGGATAAGTCAACTGACCAAAATAACTAGTAAATGTCATGCATTAGGGTCAGTTTTGGCCCAAAATATACTGCACATCAAACAACCACGTTCACTTTTATATTACACCGTTACTATCCGTACGATTACTTATTAAATTACATAACCCGAAGAAAGATCGATACGCAATCGATTCTATTCTGATAAAGGACATAAAACTTCCAATAAACCTCTCTTCCCAATTGTATCATACCTGGTACAATGGATTACGCCGGGCGATTCGGTTGTTGTTCCGCGAAACGTGGGCGAATGCTTTATTGTTACGGTCATACCTCGCGTAACTTCCTCGACGAACATCAACCAAGTTGACGTCAAAACGGTGCATTTCACTTGGACGCGTGGTACCCACGCCTCATGGTATACACGTCCAGAACTACTCATTAAAATTATTGTGCCACACGAAAAATTTTGCGTCGTGGATACACAGCAACACTGGGACGGAGTATAGTGTTGTTATTAGCCGCGTATACATGAGAGGGAGCGTTGGGTACAATTGCCCCCCTCCTCCAAATGCCCTAAATCATGACCGAAGGAAGCAGTTTGCTTTGACAAACAGATGTTTGATCAAATTTTTGGTATAGAGGGTGGGTGGTTTGTATAAAGTGGTGCCTAGATTTTATTGGCTTTCAAAATATCATTCTATATATAGGGAAGCCAACTGATTGGTGATGGGGGGTATCCCTATTCGTTTTCTTGTGTAATAAAAAATAACACACAAAAAAAATGAGGTGACTGACGTGGAAACAAAGAACCGATGTTGCAGAATTAACAATACACTTACTTGATATTTGGCTTGGCTTTGTTGATCAACACCTCGCATATGGGACAGTGGCTATTATCTTGCAGGAATTTTATGAGACAACTGCGGCAAACTGTAATAAGAAAAACACATGGAGCACCACATTTCTTAATATATTTCTGTTTGGAGCAAATAAAGAGTGTTCAGGATTTCGTATTTTCACATTTTAATTTCTCTAGCACCGGAAAAACGATTTCACAAGAAATAGAACTTTCTAGATTGTTGTTTGAACTTATCATAATTCTGACATTGGTAGGTAAACGACGAAATTAACAAAAACCAAATAACAACAAGGACAAAGGGTTGAGGCTTGTTTACTTACATGAATGCAGGCATTCGGATATGGTGGTTGCATCGATAAAATAACCCTTGCACAGATAACAGGTGAGATGCGAGTTGATTTCGACCAACCTGATTTTTTCTGGCTTGGCCAGTTTTGGCAGATGCATGGTCATCGGATCTGATCTGAAACAAGGAAAATACAAATGGTTAAAAGTACCTTCACTAATGGCATACATGAAAGTATCAAGATATACTTCAATAGACGAAAACTAAAAGTAAAATTTTACTGTGGACTCCTTCGTTTGGTTCTGTTTCGTTGATCATTATTTTAGTTTCTTTGGGTCAGTATTTAAATATGAAGAGCGAGTATTTAAATACAAAGGGTGTATATAAATCCATTTGGAAAATGTGGAAAATCAAAATCAAACCACGTGTTTAAAGTTATTTATTAATCAAAAATAATAATCGACATTTCGCCAAAGTTGTCGGGCTTTTTCAAGATTAGTTTTTACATAAACAGCACCTAATTCCCAAGAAGAATCCCATCAATCTAAAAACTATTAATATGAGGCCTTCAATACCGATCGTTTATTGAATCGAGGAAGTCTTTAGTAAGTTCTTGTAACTTCACTTATAAAAACGACCATTTAATTTGTTGCGATCCTCATTACCAAAAGAAAATGTTCAAGAAAATTGCCGTGTGGCACTTGGCAAACGAATTCCGGTCGAAATTTGTTTTCGTTTGTTGGAGTACAGCCAGAGAATTTTATAGGATCAATAAAACGAAACGGGCCCGGCTCAATTTGTTGTGTACCGTCCGTCCGTCCGTCCGTCCGTCGCAACAATAGCCTACTAGGTAGTCAGTCCTCGGGGTACCTTCAATAGTCCGACTAATCCGTTTTTTAATACCGAACCCACGCCTACGGAACGGAATTATCCTCTTCCTTCCTCTGATATCCTTAATTGCATCAATTTCAGTGAATACACGTATAGGTGCGTATTACGCGTTTAGCCGATGTTAAATCGTTTAATTTGATGTTTAGAGTACGAAAACAAGCTACTTTATAAAACGAATTTTTATTGTTCGACCTTTTGAAGAATTAAAATGAAAATAGAGTTGCACAACAGAAGACCTGCTACTACGTAATTGTTTAAATTGACGATAGACAGTACGTGTTTCAATAAATAATAATTTGAAGGGTGTTAAATGGATGTAATAGGGGATCGCATGGCAAAAAGCGCAATTAAGTGCCAAAGAAAACTAAAAGTTGCAATCCGAAGCCGGCCCTGATGGGCGCGAACTGGCAACGTACCTACAGACAAATTGCGATAATAACTAAGCAGCTACTTCGATGGAGAATGTAAGAAGTATATTGATTGCGGCGTTGCAATGTCCTATTTCGCTGCGTGGTCGTACCAGGACCGGACTGTACTTTGAAATACGTTTTTCTCGAAAACGGCGGACTTTAGGACCACCAAACATTTACGTAATTTTGTTTACAAGGAATCCTAAAAGACTTCGACTTGGACTCAACAATCCTATGTTTCATATAATCAATTAGAATCAAGAAGATGTGATGCGTGAATTCTTTTTTTGTCATTACTGAAAGTTTTTCCACTAAAATTTTATCCAATGAATGAACAAGTAACTTTTTGTGCTTCCCCTTGTACCATCATCGTTATTCAACAAGTACCTATCCGCGCACACACTCGCACAAAATTGCCACAAGCTTTTATCGCCTCATTATCGCTATCCATTCTTCACACATTAGTTCCAAGGTTATCGACCATAAATGAACCAAATAATGTTCCGACAAGATTCTCTCTGACAACATACGATGATGATAAGGTTTATGTTTCACAGTCCTTACACCTACGTATGTATGATGCTATCAGTCATACAAAGCGTAACAGAATCCTTTAGCACCCTTTTTGCTGCACCGTCCTTACCTAATACAATTACAACAAAACAGGCTTCGACAGGAATTTATCCATTCACGGCGTTCTTAACATATTATTTGTCATTATGACATCTAATAAGTTTGCCTAAAAATGACCCTCGGAGATACTGTAATAATTCAGGTGATTACTAGCCACTATCAGATTATCCAGTACGATTCGTCCAAGTCTTCAAATATTTCCATTATGTTTAAGGAGTCGTGTTTTGAGCTTAGGGAATACACGACAGTCACTGGGTGTCAAATCTGGCGAATAAGGTGGTTGCAGAAGCAGTTCAAACATTAATTTGTTGAACTGATGGTGTCCTCATTTGGGTGTAAAGGTGGAGTTGCTTCCTGACGTTTCGCTAGCACGAGTGACAAGCTTCTTCAGATCGGAAATGGAAGGATCTCTGGAAAAGTTTGTCACTCGCGCTAGCGAAATGTTAGGAATCAACTCACTTCTAAGTTCACGAACGATTAATTTAGAAATTCTAAAAAGATTGTTAAAAGTGTATGTTTGGAGTGCGGCGTTGTACGGGAGCGAAACATGGACGCCGGGCGCGGGGGAAAATAAAAGGCAAGACGCGTTCAAAATGTGGTGTTACAGGCGAATGATGAGGATACAATGGATAGAAAAGGTTAGAAATGAAGAGGACTCTATGGAAGTCGATAAGAAATAGGCGAGATAGGTTGGTAGGACACCGTGAAGGTTTAATCAGAGACATATTAGAGACAGACTTAAGAGGAGTAGAGGTAGACCTAGATTAGTTAAGGATGTGGGTTGTTCCAGATAGATGCCAAGATTAGCTCAGGATAGGAAAGAGTGGAGGTGTGTGTCTAACCAGTCAGGACTGACTAGCTAATGATGATGGGGACATTCAATGCCGCTAATTTCTTTTGTGTACCAAAAAATAGCTTCGTCTCCTATGAAAGTGGTTCACCTGGATCCTGTCCATTGTTTGGCTGTTACTTTCCAGAACTACATCGATGGATCCAAGTATCATTAACAGTTGTTATGAATAAAACATAAAATTCGCTGGTTTCCACTTGCAATACAGTGCCAAATCCTCAGTTGATACTGATTTGAGATGCAATTTTTGTTGGATGTATAAAACATTTCATACAAATTCTTTAACAATTTTAGATTTCTTGGTAACTGTTAACTTTCTGTCTCAAGCACGATTTTATGGTTTTTTTCTTTGTGGGGTTTCTAAATCGCGGTTCGTTATCAGTTTACTTCTGCCACACAAAATTCACCAATGTATAATTTTATCGTTGCATATTAAGTTGAATAAGAGTCTTCTAACGTTGAATACATTTCCAATCGGATTTCAGACGTAATTAAGTGTTTCAAGCATCGTATTTTATTTATAATCGCACACTTTTCCAATTTTTATCCAAGGAACACGTCATTTCACATTGTATACTAATTGACCCCGTAGTGGATAAAATGATAGTCTTATTGAGATTTAATCAGGCGCTATAGCATTTTTCTCGACCAATGTGAGTAGATTAATAAAAAAAATTGTTCTTCATATTGTCAGTTCAGTAAATCCCGGGAAAGTAGAAAATTTTATACCTACACAAGACGTCAAAGAGATTTTTGAACGTGTCGCGGTAACATGGATGGAAAATATATGTATGTTACAGGCATATGAAGCGCGGCTGTCATCAACATCAAACAGAAGTAGAAGGCGCGTGTTTACTCCCCCATAATCCCCCTTTTATTTCCTTCTTATGTGCGCGCGAAACGGGATAGGAATGTCCCGAAATTTATTGCACGCGACAGCACTGGAAAAACGAATTATTTGCTTTTTCATTAATAGAAAAAAGAATGCCAACGATAAATCTTCACACGTCGCCTCTGTCTGCCTGTCAGACATTAATATATGCGCGATTCAGATGAATACGAAGAATAACGTCGACTCTTACAAATTTGTTACAATTTTCTATTGCACTACACGTCTTATCAATTATTTACATGCATCTAGTTGTTAATATTTGGAAATATGATAAAAAACACAGACCTGCACAGCACATATCTAAAATAATAAAGATTTTTAGGTTAAGTACATTTATTGTTCAAGGATAACAACCTAAATATCGAATGTAGGCCTAAGTAACACTTTCATCCTAATCCTGATCCTGTTCCCAGTTGGCATTGTATAACAAGAGAAGATGGTACACGATTGTGTAGCAGACCATTTTAATTGGTTAATATCTTTTATAATTCCTACTTATAGCAGTATTAGCATCTAGCAAGGAGGACCTAGAGATGGCTTTAAATAAAATGGAAGCGGTACTGACAGATCAGTACTGTATGAAAATAAATAAAAGTAAAACTAAAATACTGGTATGCAAGGGAAGAAAAAGTAGGGAAAGAGCGAATATAAAGATAGGAGACGAAAAATTAGAAGAAGTGGCTGATTTTAGATACCTAGGAAGTCAGATAAGTGAGGATGGAAGGAGTAGTAGGGATATAAAGCAGAGGATAGCGCAGGGTCGTGTCGCCTTTAATAAAAAGAAGTCACTTCTATGCTCGCGAACGGTTAATTTAGAAATTCGAAAAAGGTTGTTAAAGGTGTATGTTTGGAGCACGGCGTTGTACGGGTGCGAAACATGGACAGTGGGAGCGGCGGAAAAGAAAAGGTTAGAAGCGTTCGAAATGTGGTGTTATAGGCGGATGATGAGGATATCGTGGGTAGAAAAGGTTAGAAATGAAGAGGTATTGGAAAGAATAGGAGAACAGAGGACTCTATGGAAGTCAATAAGAAATAGGCGAGATAGGTTGGTAAGACACCTTCTCAGACATGAAGGTCTAGTCAAAGACATATTAGAGGCAGAAACAGGAGTTAGGAGGGGTAGAGGTACACCTAGACTAGATTACTGTTCGCAAATAGTTAAGAATGTGGGTTGTTCTAGTTTTAGGGAAATGCTATGTTTAGCTCAGGATAGGAAAGAGTGGAGGTACGTGTGCGACCAGTCTTAGGACTGACGACCTTATGATGATGATGATGATGAATTCCTACTGTTTCTCTCTTCTAACCGATTCATATCAAAAGTGGTTTTGTACCAATCTGTTTTTTGACGTTTACTTAGAAGTTCGTTGAATGAATTCTTTTAGTTTCAATTATTTTTGGAAGATAATTGTCCATCGCTCGAGAACGAAATGGATCAATTTGCAACCACTTTATTCACTTCCAGGTGGTTTATTAAGGAGAAAATTTAGTGACAACGACCAGG